CCAGGCGTGAGTCTGCACCTGCCCGCTCGGGTCCCGCCACTCGAGCGCCCCTCCGCGGCCGGCCTGGAAAAAGCTCTCTGCCTCCGTTTCTACATGTGCAAAATGGGGCTCGAATACACGCAGCAACCTAGACAGATCTTCATAAGAATTACGCCCGAGGCCGGGCGCGGTGGCTCACGCCTGTCATCCCAGCACTTTGGGAGGCCAAGGCCAGAGGATTGTCTGAGCTCAAGGGTTCGAGACCAGCCTGGGCAACCTCATCTCTACAATAATTCAAAAAATTATCTGGGCGTGGTGGCGCGCACCTGTGGTTTCAGCTACTTGGACAGCTGAGGCAGAAGGATCACCTGAGCCTAGCAGGTCGAGGCTGTGGTGGCCGTGAGCTTGCCACTGCACTCCAGCCTGGGAGACAGAGTGAGACTTCGACTCAAAAAAAAAAAAAAAAAAGAATTACGCCCAGGGACGGAATCCAGACCAACAACCACAAAAAGTCTACACACTCTGGTCCCCGTTATATCAAGCTCCAGAAAATGCAACCTCATCTATAGCGACATAAAGCCAAGCAGTGGTCGCCTGGGTGTGGGCGTGGAGGGATTAATGAAAGGTAAGAGAAAATTTTCTGGAGTGGTGGGTATGTTCGGTATTTTCACTGTGATGGGTGGTTTCATGGTGAGTAAATACATCAGATTCGACACTTAAAATGTGTGCGGTTAATTATATGTTGTTCTTTTTTTTAGTTGAAGTCTCACTCTTGTCGTCTAGGCTGGAGAGCGGGGACACTCTCACGGCCACCACGACCTCGACCTGCTGGCTCAGGTGATCCTTCTGCCTCAGCCTTCCAAGTAGCTGGAACCACAGGCACGCGCCACCACACTCAACTAACTTTTTAAATTTATTGTAGAGACGAGATTTCACCAAGTTGTCCAGGCTGATCTGAAACCCTCTTGCCTCCACCTCCCCAAAGTACTGGATTACAGGAGTGAGCCACCTGTATATGCCCAGCATATGATTTGTCAATTATACCTCAACAAGGCTGTAAAAGATTTTAAATGCATCTAATTCATAGGGATACTGAGGATGAGCTGAGTTAATCTGGGTGAAGTACTTGGAGTGGAATTTGAGGAAGAGTTAAGGCTCAATGTAGTGACCCTGTGAGCCATGGAGAGGGCAGCCTCTAGTGGCCAGCCTGACGGCCCTGTCCTCAGCACCCTGCAGGAAGTCAGCCGAGCATCAAGATGAGGGTGTGGGCTGTGAAGAAGAAAGCACAATAAGACAGTCACCTCCCTTACATTTCCTCCTCCTCCTCTCCTCTCACGCCTCCTCAACCACACCTGCCTCCTTTTCAAGCTCAACAGGCACAGGCCTATCCCAGGGCCTTTGCCCTTGCCATTCCTTCCACCCAAACTGCTCTTCTCAGCATGGTTCCCCCTCACCTTCTTCAGGCCATCATTCATTTATTTTTATTTTTATTTTTAGAGCCAGGGTCTTGCTTTTTTGACCAGCAGCAGCGGGATCATAGCTCACTGCAGCCTTGAACTCCTGGCTTCAAGTGATTCTCCTGCCTCAGCCTCCCAATGCCCGGTCTCATTTATCTTTCAATCGACTCTCAGGGTGTGTGTGTGCAAACTCACCACTCACTATTCTGACTTTATTTATTTTTTTCTTAGATACAGGGTCTTGTTCTGTCGCCGCTGCAGTGCCGTGGTATGATCACAGCTCGCTTCAGTCCAGGAGTCCAAGAACAGCCTGGGGAATATAGCAAGACCTTGCCTCAACAGAAAAGCAAAAAGTTAGGCTTGGCACAGTGGCTCAAGCCTGTAATCCCAGAACTTTGGGAGTACGAGGTGAGGGGATTGCCTGAGCCCACGGGTTTGAGAACAGCCTGGGAAACTTGGTGAGACCTCATCTCTACAATAAATCAAAAAATTGGCGGTGGTAGCGCGTGCCAGTAGCTCCTGCTACTTGGAAGGCTGAGGCAGAAAGATTGCCGAACCCAGTAGGTTAAGGTTGCAGTGGCCATGGTGAGTGTGCCACTGCACTCCAGCATAGACAACAGTGAGGCCCTGGCTAAAAAAAAAAAAAAAAAAAAAAAGCAAAAAATTAGCCAGGTGTGTGGCTGTGCACCATAGTTCCAGCTACTCAGGAGGCTGAGGCAGGAGGTTTGCCTGAGGCCAGCAGATCATGTATAAATACATACATACATACACACACACATAAAATAAACCAAATTAGCCGGTGGCTCAGCCTGTAATCCCGCGCCTTTGGGAGGCTGAGGTGTGTGGATTGCCCGAGCCCGCGGGTTCGAGACCCGCCTGGGCAACTTGGCGAGACCTCATCTCTACAATAAATAAAAAATTAGCTGGGCATGGTAGCGTGCGCCTGTAGTTCCGGCTGCTTGGAAGGCTAAGGCGAAAGGATCACCGGAGCCTAGCAGGTTGAGGCTGCGGTGGCCGGGAGCATCCACTGCACTCCAGTCTGGGTGACAGAGTGAGACTCCAACTCAAAAAATAAATAAATAAATAAACCAAATTGATTTTAATACTACTTTTTAATACAATTTGTCCAAAATATCATTTCACGATGTAACAAATATAGACTATTGAGCTATTTTACCTTTCTTTGGCTACAAAGTCTTGAAAGTCAGATATATGTTTTATACTGACAGCACATTACAATTTGGATTGGCCACAATTTTTTTTTTTTTTTGAGTTGGAGTCTCACTCCGTCGCCCAGACTGG